GGGTAAAGGAAACGCTTACCTAGACGAAGGAGGAAAAATGGTAGGAAAGATGTAATAACGGGCCAATATAGAGTGGTATCGTTTGAAAAATCGGCCTTAATCGATTAAGCATTGTTACATGAGGTCTCGACGAATGTCTGAGTAAGTGTGTATGTTCAATCGATCGTTCACGCGTGGCCTGATTTTATTATCCTTTTCTTTGTTTTTTGTTTTTGTCTACGTTAGGTCTGCGCTACCGCTAATAGTAGTTTAGGGCTAAATATACAACTAGTACTTCTCGTATCTCGGGACCCATGCAACGAATTATGCGGCTGAAATACTTCCGTGCGAATACACGCTTGCACTCTTGGCGGCCGCTCTGTTCCTAGTATTATCGTTAATAATGCACGTTGATTGGACGCCATGCATTGCCGAAAACCCATCACTTTTAGGCGTTAAGACCTAATCGAAAACAGTATCCTTCCGTGTTACGTTTGCCCTCGGCATATCCCATTGGACATTCGTGTTTTGTTCGACTTCTTATGGGACAAGTCAAAGTAGTCCTGTCTGGTCAACAGTACGCACGCACACGACATACATATACAGCACGTAATAAATCGAACGTTCCAAACGGACACTCCTCCATTTTCCCAGTTTCGCGCTGTCTTCGTATAGAGAGCGCTCTATATTAATCTGCCCGCCCGTTTGTCATGCTCGTTCGTTCTCTTACATCGTGTATCTATGCTTTATATGAAGGAACATGCTACGTATTCGATCAGCGGTTAAATAAATCATGTTGACGCTCAATACACGCTCGTATACGCATTCGCGCGTTCGTCTGTGTGTCATATTCCGATGTCATATTGTTAAAAATGCTTATGGAAAGGTCAGCGCACTAAACGAGTACGAGCGAACACGATTTTACTCCAGAGACACGACACACAGCCGAAATTCTCGTTACCGTCGGCAGTTCAAGGAGGAGGACGCGTTCGAACGAACCAGATGTACAATATATCGCCTTACTGTGGGACGCCGTTTCAGTGTGGGAACAATCAGCCAATCGTTTCGAAGAAGAAGCAAGTTGTCAGTACAATTTTTCTAATCGACTCAAGATACTTGTTTTTCATTGTCGACGAAATTATGGCAATGTCCTCCTCGCGAAAGAAAGCTGATCCCGACCGACTCTCCTCGAATCGTGCAGTTCGTTACCGTAAAACGTATATGTAATATTAATAATTACTAATTATACTTTATTATAAATTAATTAAAGAGCTCTTAATCGTACGTGTTTATGTGTGTATAATAATATTAATATTAATAATAGTAGTATGTACGATAACTTTTTTTGTAGCAGCTTACTCTCTCGGCCGTTTCCCTCGAATTCGACGCGCATCGTTCGCCTTCTTTCCAAAATCTCTCTTCATCGACGAAGGTTCAAAGAGACCCTGATGTTTTGGTAACTAGCGGCACTCCCAGATCTTCACCGTTTGATCGACACTACCGGTAACCACGTAAGGATGGCTTTTGTGAAAATCTACAAAGGCACGACAATTTTAATGCAAGATATCTTCAGGAGAAATCTCGTGTAACAGGGAAAACCAATAAATGTAGGTCGCTGAAAGAATAATTTTTAGTTTCATAAAGAATATTTAAATCACATTGTATTTTATGTTACAATCCTTTCTGAAAATCTACTATAACGGAGTTGAGTAGCTTATGAAGAACAGATTGCATAACCATTATGACTCATTTATGAGATAATCTTATCAAAAAAATAAGACTAATACGTTACACGTATCAAATAAGGTTTATTTATGCTTTCATTAAGTAATCAATTTTTTTATTTGATCACCTAATCGCCATAATGGCCAGCTCTGTTATACACAATTTTCCAAGTAAAAAGCAAAGAATATCGTTTGAATTGTTACTCACCAACGGAGGTGCAGAAATGGAAGTGCGCCTCAAGAGTTTTCATCACTCGTTTGTTGCGTGTGTCCCAGACTCGCAGGGTTTTATCGTCAGAGGCACTGACGATAAACTTGCCACCAGGATGGAAGACGATGCCACGCACCCAGTTGTCGTGTCCTAGGAGGGTGAAAAGACAAACGCCGGCACCGACGTCCCATACGCGGATTACCTTGTCTCGCGAGCCAGATGCGAGGAAAGGTCCTTCATGGGCACCCTTGTTGTCTGCTCCTGCCGCAGCGTTAATCGATGCTCTTGCACTTTCCGGTGACCATGCAATACACTCAACCACGTGCTCGTGATCTCTGAGTTCGACCTGAAAATAGAGGCATTTTAATACATTAATTGATATTGTTGCTTATGTTATACTACTCCACGAACTATCCGCGGGAACATGTCTGCAGACAATGTCTGTAATCATGTAGGGTAATGTTATTTTTTATTTATTTTGAAGTATAAAATATGTCTGCAAATATTTAAACGTTACTGTTAAGTCACTGCACGAAAAGACAATACAAGTATATTTTTAACGTAATACTATAAACATACCTTTGTTTCTTTTGTTGCCACGTGCCAAACTCGTACCGTTTGATCATTTGAGCAGCTAGCAATTAACTCTCCGCAGGGACTAACCCTAGCCATTCGCACCCACTCTCTGTGGCCCGTCAACGTTTTAACACAATAACCTGTCGCCACTTCCCATATTTTTATGGTTTTATCCCTAGAGGCGCTCACTACGAAATCTCCTTGTGGTACAAATGCGACAGAGCTGACACTATGATCATGTCCATGCATGGTTTTCACGCAGGCGAATGACTGGTGAAAGTCCCATAACTTAATAGACATGTCTGCACTGCAAGAGACTAACAGTTTTCCGGAAACATCGAATGAAACGTCTTGTACGCTGTCAGTATGCCCCTTTAATGTTCTTTCGAATTCGCCACTTTCGAAGTCCCATACCTGGATCAAATTAGTACAAATGGAAAAATCTATTTTGGTAAAAGAAAACATTGACTGACTTATATGCAATAACAAATGGAAAAAATTGACAATTTGCTGTTTATTCGAAACGAGTGTATGAAATGAACTATCACGAACATCATTTTTCAAAAATGAAAGTGTTCTCTTTCAAGAATATTTTGTAATATTATATTTGTCACTTATAAATACATTATGCATCTTGTGAAACTTCTGATTATAAAAAGAACGAGTTTTCTCCATGAAATATATTAGTATTTTTCACTTTCATATTGTTATAAAGTGAAACCAGAATGCTTCAACTGAAGAATAATATGCCTTTATCAATTTACTTTCACTTATACAATGGAAGGAGCAAAAGTTAAATGTATTCTGTTATCACGAACGAAGAGAATTCTTTTCGCGTGTATTATGACGGTTTTTCATTACTGTATCATTATCACTTAATTTAAAATATTTTACAATAAAGAATAAAGTAACATTCGCAACGCCATGTTCGTGATGGAAATATCCTACGTCATGTGACTCCATAAAAATAAGTTTAAATAAAGATATAAAATTTAATTTGAACTGTGTAAGAACACACTCGTTTCAAAGTAGCTGTCATTTAGTTTCAACGACTCCCTATTTGTCAACTCTGAAGTCAGCGATTCTTCTACCTTAATTGTGGCATCTTCGCTGGCAGATACTATAAGACTGAAAACTGGGTGGAAAATAACTCTGTTGATAGGAGCTCTGTGTCCAGTGAGACTGTACTTTTCGGGTGGCCTTGGTATCCACTCAGACGGTGATCGTTTGCTACGTGTCGGTGCTCCCTCGATGAATTCTTTCTCAGCCTCTGAGAGTTTCGATTCCAATTCCATTACCTGTAATATGAGATATATAATTCATTAGCTCATTATTTACGCTAACATCATATTGTTTTCTTTTTACCCACTTGCAACTATATGCGATACTGTGAACAAAATTATCATTAATCATTGCCCTACAACTGCCCTGATAGTATTTAGAAATGAATATAAAAAAAATATCATATTAATCTCGTTTCGATAATTTCACAAGTGTCAAGTTAATATTCCAAGCTTAACTCGTTAAAGTTGATTAAGCAATGAGTTGAAATAATTTTAATTAGTAAGTAATCCTTTAGATAATTCTAAATAAAGGACTCAAACAAAAATATTGATTCAAAAACAACATTAAGAGATTAATATTTCTATATCTGTTGAGTATTATACCTTTAGTGCTGCAGTATGTCTTACTCACCAGTGGAATTAACTAAAAATATATTTCTAATCTTATATTTTACACAAGTGAAGCGATTAATAAACTTACCACTTTTAAAAACTTATCTACGAAATTTATTAATACAAAATTCTCAATTCTTAAGATTGTTATCGTTACCTTCTTTTGCAAACGTATGACCGAAGTCCATTTCTTCTCCAGAAGTCCTCCGTATTTTTTTTCCACCTCTCCAGGCATATCAGCTTCCTTCTTGAATGCGTCGAGCGCATTTTGATAGCCGTTGGTGCTGAGATAGTCCGCGATCGCCTTATTTCTGAAAAAGCACATCAACTGTAACTTGATGTCTTACGGCTAATAACCGCCTTCGATATTCCCTCTGACCTTGCAATCTAAACCAGTCTTAAGTACTAAGCACAACTAATTAACAGACGTAACACATGACAACTTTTTTTTTTAACAGTCTTGCAGCAATTATCGACTCGAATCCTCCTCATGCTATCTTATTACTGTTACGTTAACAGGTATATTAAACATTTCACATTTGATATAACGAAGTAAAGAAATAACGATTTGAACGTATCATAAATGAAACTAGGTCTAAAATATTCAAACTGAGCATTAAAAAATGCCAAAATATTAGCTAATAATAGTTATAATTTATTTATAAACAATAGTAATATATCTTTGTTTATTTATTTTAAATTGCAGTTATTACTCCTTGAATTTGTGAAATTCGAAATTTTATATAAAATGTAACTTGAAATTAATAACATAAATTATTAATCAATTGTGAATTGTACTATAAAATTTGTCTATCAAGTAACTTTTATAAAATGAATATTAAATAATCATTAAATAAGCGCGGCCTAATCGTAATAGCTTTAATCTTATCGTATATGTTTGCCGTATAGATCGTCATATACCTACGTCAAGTACTAATGTAAAGTGTTATATTTTTATCACATAGTTTTATATGTATTTTATTGGATTCGTCTACAATTCATGTTAATTACATTCTTTTACTCATGAATGAAACTTTACGCCCGTTTACATTCATTTTGTAGCGATAAGAGAAAATCTTTGTATTGGCGGAAGTAACAAAGATACTACAACATTCTCTACTAGTCTCATTTTATGAACCAAACTTTCTTTGCCATTTCAACGTGTGAAATAACACTATGAATTTGCACGCATTGCGTCTCTTTCACATACGTGTACATAATATGTGATACTTCATTAAAGACAACAAACTTTTCCTCAAGAAATTACGTTCCATCGCCGAAATATTTTCATAAAGAACTACGCACACTTATATGTTCGAACAAACGGTGAAAATATTTGAAAATTCCGAAGTTAAAAGTGAATGACAAACTTCAAATGAAAACAAATACTTCGATAGTAACAAGCACGTAAGACTTATTACACGATATTTAATTTCTTATAAAAAAAATATATATATCATTTACTAATACGAAATGTAGCAGGTATATAATTGATATAAATATCATTACGTTTGATTAAGTGTCACGGACTGTGTTGTATACATACTTTTACAGTATAATGGTCTGTAGCAGACGCTATATTTGCGAACAATTATATCTCCCAAGAATATTGACGCATCCACATTTAACCGTCGTACAGTTTTCAATAATGACATTTCACTAACAACCATTCACAGCATAAACCGATACAATAGAGGGCACAGGTTGAGTACGTGGGAAAGAGATTGAAAGTCGGGCAGAATTATGCCGGGGTGAAAGGCCTGAAGTCGGTCGTTCGTCTCTGTTCACCTGCTTCCACGTGATAGTACGTAGCGAATTATCACCATGAGTTTTGTTTCGTGGCGTTCAAATGCTGACAAACAAAGCAAACAACCGGAAAGCGCGATCGATTCTCTTTCAACGATCCAAGACCTTTCACTTCACCGAACGGGACTATATAATAAATTATCATTGCCACACGAAAACCACTTCGCTTCTCGTTCCCGCCATCCAACTGGTTATTTTCGTTAATTACTCAAGTTTTAGGGCCAATCATCGATTGATCTCGAGCAGAGAAAGTTGCAAGCAAGTGAGACGTGCAGGTCGAACCAACGTCACTCAAAGAAATGGACGAAAAAGCTCGATCGATTATTTCGAGGTTCATTATCGATCGATTTCACAGATAAAAAATTTCTATGTATACGAACACACCAGAGGAAATGAATTTCGTTGTTTTATGCTACCCGTAAATTTCAAAGATTGGGAGTCGTACTAGCGACGTAATCTTCTTTTATGCGAAGACGATCCCCTTTCCACTCTCTTTGCCTCTTCTTTTTCTATTTACCACCACACCCGTCAACGGCTATCACGTACACAAGATATAAGGTTTCACATCGCAGGAACGCGCTACGACAAGTGCACCCGTATGTGTCTTACACTCAGATTCTTTAGTGGAGCTTGTTTACATCACGCTAAAATGAATTCATTTCACTGAAATTCTGCGTTTCAAAACTTTCCACTTATTTGGCTAGAAATTATTTAGAATTATCACGGATCAGTAACACTTTATACATACAGCTGATAGTTTAGAAGCATTTAAATAAATGTTTGTTAATACGTTTCCAACCTAACCTAACTTTGAGGACGTTTGCAAGAGTATAGTGTCCAAGGTATCGAATAATAATCGAGACATCCAAATCGCTGGCATTTTAAGGTGGCAAAGAAAGTTTGTTTAATTGCAAATATAGAAAAAAAATATTTTTGGTTGTGCCTTCGTTTTCTAAAAAGATCGAATTTGAAAGTGTGCTATATGTAAATCAGTATAAATAGGAGTGCTTTTTTCATACAGAAATAAATAGTAATACACGATACTTCATTTATTATTTATTTCGACATGGTTGTCGTATTATTTCATTATTGATCATTTCCATTCGCGTTAGTGTCATTTGTATATACGAAACAAATGCAAAAACCTGTTACATTATTCACTTATACTATATTGCTGATGTTTACGAACATTATCATTGATAAAAAACAAACTCAGTAATAAAATTAAATGATATATATTTACTGATATACGATACTTCGTACGAAAAAAAATTTTCGATGTACTCTCTTTGTGAAGAATGATAGTATTCTCGTTAATAATACATTTTTCGGAACACCCTATATAATTTCAGTAAATACAGAAATGTAGGTATACATAGTAATTCGATAAATAAATAGATAATAAGTAATAATAAATAAATATTTTAAATTTCCTCTAATAATTATGTTCCCAGCCACTTGCTACTATAGTACGTTATCTTAGCTTTTTGTGTGGCGCTTTTTGCAAATGATTGTTTTCTACTCGCATTCAGAACCTCTAATAATATATAACGAACACAGTAACGGAATAAGTTTCAACAGATAATCAACGTTGTTTGTATCATTAATTGCTCATTAACATTTAACGGGGCACGTATAAGCGTACAAGATATCACAGATTAATTTCACTGCAATGAAACCTACCGTCACGGCTACCACGGTATACGTGTAAATTTCAATTCTAATTGCAATTCCATAAAAGTCAGAATAATAAGATAGCTTTTAGAAAGTGACTCTTATTTCGATCAACGAAAGTTTTCCACTTCAACGAACCTACTACTCCCGTAAACAATCCTCTTTCCTTGGATAAGATACAAAAAGAAAAAAAGAAGCAAAAAAATGCAGCAACGATTGAGCGCTGTTAAAGCAAAGAACGTATCGAACATGTGACGTATGACATCAGCATTGAAACAAAGAACAAAGTTCAGTATATTTTTATAACGAAAGTTTTAAACATCTAATTGTCTGCGTGGACAATGTATTGTTTGTTTCTTTTTATAGTTTTGCATGAATTTTTGGTGGAAGGAAAATTAATCAAAGACTAATACACAACCTAACCTCTAACCTAACCTTTTTCTAATTTTCTAATTCGAAACACATCATCTTCCAAATTATATTGTTCTAATTACTGTTGAATTCATTAAAAATTTTAAATAATACCATATAATATGCCATAATGATGAAAGAATACTAATGAAGGAAAAATAAAGCATTAACACTAGTTACTTTCCATGGAAAAACCTTTAGATATAACATCGTATCACGCAAGAATTGTTCCCTCAACGCAAGGCGCATGTGCATCGTTAAAAAGCTCTTCCGTCCATGGAATGCGTAATTCTTTGTATCATTCCTTGAAATACTCAAAATCCTTTGCACAATGATTCATATCGATTAAGTTTTATTATGATCCCCTATTTTTTCCCACTTTCTTATGTATATCATTAGCAAAACAGAATGAGAGAAATGTTGGCCAACGAAGGGGAGGAGCTTTATCGATTGCCAGGTTTCATTGCAGCCAACTGATCTTCCTTAACTTTCGTGCACACACTCGACTCATTGAGTATTCTTCACTACATGAGAAACACTTAACAATATTCTTTTCTCCTTTTCCTCCTTTATTGCTTCGTTAAGAAATCCCTTTTTCTTATCACCGTGTTCAATCGTGTGCATAATTGCGACTTTCTGATCAACCATAACACGACAAACCACTGAATCACGCTTCACTTCTTTCTAACGCACTTGCGAATTTCACTCGTCAAAAAAACTGTTGTAATTTTCGTTGTTCTTTCCTATTTTATTTTTATTTGCATAATACATTAAAAAAAGAATGAAGCATATTTAACCAAGAAATTCTTTCATTACTTATGTAAAGAACAAATAAAAATTGGACCGCCTATATTGTTTAAGTAAAAAGAATTAATTATTAAAAAATTAATTATTAAAAATTTAAATATTATATCATCATAGTTTAGATAATATTTTTCTGCATAACTTTCTCATTCGATAGATTATGCATTCATTTGTTTCATAATACCTACAATAAATAATATCGATTCGATTTTCAATGAACTTTTTCAGCCTCTCCATACATAATATTAAGATTATTTCAAAAAAATAAAAGGCACATTGAGAACCTGTATCGTGTATAAATATTAACAGATAACTGTACTGTCACCAACGATTTCATTTACTCAAGAACAATCCTGAGTTTAATAAGTTGCAGTAGGCACACATGAACACCTTTGTAAAAGATAATTAAAAAAGTACAAGTTGAAATTGTATTTCTTTTTCACTTATAGTATATGTTACGTATCGCGCTTGAATAACGTACACAAGAATACATGACGTATTTCATGCATATTTATCAAACCTACTTCGTGAAATCGAAACCGATTACTACGTTCGTACTATCACCAACGCTGAATACAAAAATTGCACAACATTTTTTTTTAAACATGTCTAAAAGAAACAACAGTCGCTTAGTTACTATTTATGGATTAAAACTGCGCAAAAAAATTCATAAAAAAAACTGAGGAAAACGAGATTTTACTGCTTGTCCGATACAATATAATTGCTTGATTTTTCAAAATATATTTACGTAACATTGTTTTCTTCTAAAGCAGAGAAATGAAAAAGATAAATATAGGGCAGAGAATGACACTTGTAGGAGCCGAGAAAAAAGTGGACCCAAGCGGGAATCGAACCTGTGACCTCTAGCTAGCAAGCTGGGACTCTACGCCCTTAGCCATATTATATTTCATTGTTGTTCCTATGGATTCGTTTATGAATTCCACACACTTAAGAAAAAATGTTTTCTCAAATGTAATATTTAAAGATCAACTACCCTACCGTATTTTTGCAGAAAAACTCGATTAATGTGGATAAATTTAGTAGATGATCAGAACCTACGTTAAAAAGCTAGTGAATTGTACACTGTACCATTTTTTTTTATTAATTAAGACACGATACAATTTTATTGCACAATATTACAGAAATCTGTTAGTAGTCTAAAAATTGTACATATATAAATGTTAGAAGAAATGCTAGAGCAAATTCAAGTACATTCCAATAAGCATAATACGACATTGAACGCTCAATACCTAACACAAATCCGCGATATTTGGTTAAGTACAACAAAAAATTATATTCTTACAAATTTAGGGCGAAGATGACAAATTGTCAGAAAATCGTCTATTTCGTGCTACAAATGACAGTTAATAAAATTCTAATGCTCAAGTGTACGTAAACTTCCTAAAAGAATAATATTTCGAAAAGTTAACTTCTTTCGTTAAAAGAAAACTACTTCGGCAATACGTAAGCAATTCCAAGGAACAAGCGCAGCATTTCATTCCCCAGAAAAATCATAGATAACTACCAAAAAAAAAGCATCACATCTGTTTAATTAACTGTCGCAAACTGTATAATTTAAAGAAAATCAATCAAACTGTCAGAGTTGTGAATTGTAACATTAACTATATGCAACACATTCCCTGCATACATTATCGTGCTTCTCTTCTGCTTCTATTGTGACCCACTTTATTTGCATAAATGTTTTCCTACATACACACATATATACATCTATTGATCGTACGAGCTTCATTTTCGTTCGTTTATTTCATGCATGTCTGCAAAATCGAAACGATCGATGACACGTGCATCGAAAGTTCCGATCTGGCAGCATATGTCCAAGCAATTGCTTCTCTCGTGAGAGAACGAGCGTCTGCGAGCGGTGTCTTTCTGCATTTCCCCGGTTGCCGGTTTTCTTTCTCTCCCGGAACAGGCTGGCTGGCTGGCTGGCTGGCGGCGAGGCGCGTCCACTGGTTGTTGGACGCGTTATCGATCCCGCTATTCGCGCGTGCTCGAGAGACACCCTCTCCTGCAGCAGCTGCCGCGCACGACACGCGTCGATCCACGACCGATTTGACGTCACCGAAATTAGTTAACATCGATCGACATCACGATCGATAATACCGTTTAGCCATTAAAAACACAGGAGGGGGAGGTGCGCACTTTAACCACCCTAGAGGTTCCAGTGACTAACCATCCCTCCTCTAAAAAAATTACAGAAACGCACCATTTCTTGTCACGCTGACTTATTGATCTTTACGATAGCAATTTCTACCCCTCGTTATTTGCTCGTTCCGGGCTAACAATAAGCTTTCGAACGACGAGGATTACGATAAGCTATTTAATTCGTCGACAATTTTGGCAGTAGAGGAAAGATTCTAGCTTGTCTTGGTTCACTAATAGCAAATTTAATGTATCTGTTATATTAGATAATATGAGTAATTTTGTTTTATATTTATAATAATTATTACTTCTATTGTAGTTATTTTTTAATAGAACTGAATATGTAAATTTAAGTGGAAATTTGGTACATTGACTTCTTCGTTTGGTTGTATTATTTTTAATAATTGTTAGTCTAAGAATTTGAAGTATTCTATCAGGTTGAGATGGTTTAGGTTTAATTTCTTATTGTTTAATTATGATATTGTTTAATTCTTATATTATGATAATGTTAGAGGTTATGTAGCTGGAATATTAACCGTTGTTTTAAATTGAATTGGTGATGCTGGATTATTAATATTAATTTGTACAGTAACTATATAAATTAGATAATTTAATATGTATATTAGTAATTATAATAGCTTTTACAAAAAGAGTTCAATTTCCTTTTTCTCTCTGAACAGACAGAATATGCGAGATAAATATATTATCTTTGGCTTATTAGGTGTCATTTATATTTAACGTCATTATAACAAAGGTAAGAAACTCCATGATTATTGTGATAAAAATAGGAATGAAAATGACAGTGAACATTCGATTCACCCTTGAGAAAACTTTTACGAAATAGCCCTCGTACTTTTAATGACGTAACTTACACTCATTTGAAAGCTGATTTCATAATATTTGTAGGCTTTATTGACGAAAAGACGGTGAAAATTCTAATATACGTGACGTTGATCCTTAGCTCGTGACCTAACCTCATACAGACAAAATTGTGATTTTGCTAACTGAGTTTCTCTTTTAGCACGAGTTCGTTTGTTCTCGTTCCATTTCCTATCTCCGCAATTTCTGACAAAATGTGAAATACAAGGAGTTACAATTGGTGACAAAAGATGATCTGACGTACACTCTCAGGAATTGATAAATTTGTTTCACTGATTGTGAGATCAAATGAATGAGAACGTGTCCAACAGTTGACATGAAGAAAAGTGTGATAAAAGCTAAAGTTGTATGCAGAACGTTTATCGATTGGAAAGTTTTGAAAAATATTGTTAAAACGCGAATTAGGAACTATCAATCCTCGATAATTGGAAGTAAATTAAAAACAAATGCTAAACGCGAATTATCAAATTTCTATACAATTATTACGAACACAACAACGCTAAATTTCAAGCTTGCAAATATATGATGATGTGAATGTATTAAGTTTAGTCTATGATTAAATTGCATAAATCTTACACTTTTATAAAATGTACACTTCCTACAGAATTGTACGAAAAAATATATGAACGTTACAATTTTTAAGGCAAATTAATCTTAATTCTCCATATAAATTCATAACTGTTAGATTAGCACTAAAATAAGGACCAAATTAAGTATATCTGATCCGAATAATCAGCATGTAATGTTTCAGCGATAAAGGTACAGGCAAGAACTGTTTGACCCACTCTCTCATATTATTTTATTATTCTTTAGCTTTTCTTGTTTTATTTCTTTTTTTGTTTTTTTAGAGTTACTTTGAGATTATATATCGCAATGTTAAAATATTCCGCATCGCAGACACGGAATAATATTCGTTAATATTAAATTTGCGTCATTAACATGGATATTTCTGCAATAAAAACAATGTGAAATAGCGTTCGAGTTTCAATAAAAAAAAAATAAAGGTACGAAAAGTGATTAAAATAAAATGTATCTTTCGCAAACTGTATGACAATAAATCAAACAATTTACAAGCAACACAGCACATAGACTATTCAAGGTGATCACAATGAATGTATCACCTGGTACATATAGCTCCTATGATAACTTCCATACGTTTAAAAATTTATATTCTAAATTAAAGCAATTGCTTAATTAATAATCATCTCCAATCGTTTTTCTTATAAGCACATCTCTCTTGAATGGTAATGAAGTATGTCGTAATTACATCTTAAGTTAACACACTGTCATTGTTGTGTATTTTAACGAAATATATCTGCTTTTCAGAATGAAAGTGGGCAGGAAAGTACTTGAGGGCATTCACTCAGTCGGTATTTATAATTTCTATTTTTCAAATAAAGGCTCATTCACTAATTAAGACTACTGTGAGATTAAAGTAGTACACCAGCAATATTTTCCTTACAAATTTAAACAAATATTTATAAGAAACATATTTTCAATTCGCCTCCTACATTCCTCTTTTCTCTATTACAAAGCAACCTTCCTTTAATCCACAATTACAACTACTACTCCTGAAGACTACTCAAGCAAAATAAGAGACTGAAGTATATACAAGGTTGACAGTAAGTGCATAATATGCACAACTTGCAATTAAATATAAAAAAGGATAATCTACTCCATACAAAAACATCCATACAACACACTTCAATTCTACTAACCATTGTTCAGTTTCCTAAAAATTGATTTATTGTTATTTCCAAGCTACATCTAACCGAATAAAAATCATTCAAAAGTAAACAATTGAGAAGAAAGGTTCAAAGCTTCCTCCGCCTTTCTTATTATACGAATATTGTACTCTATACCTCTTTGTTATTAGTATGCCTCGCGTGTGACAAAACACGCTCCGGCTATAATCGCGCAATAAAAATTTCACGTAGCGTGATCTCCTTTTCGGTAGATGTTTCACAATACATCTTCTCTTTTTTATTCCCATCTTATTTGAACTGTGAAAGCTGCATGAACTGTAGCAGCGATCTTACGGTCACCCGTTAGATTGTTAAATACATTTTCGCTCATATTCCTGACTAGCTATCAATAATTCACAATAACAATAAATAAAAGAAGAAAAAAGAAAGTTCAACGCAATAACGTTCTACGTGAAACATTAAAAACATACAAAAGTTACTTGAGTGAAATCTAAATAAAATACTGTAGCTACTCTAAGAAAATTATTTCATTTTTTTTCCGTGTGTAACGCATGATTATTCTGCTTGTTTTCTATAATGTTTTTCGTGCATTTTTGTATATGTGAAAATTTCAAACTCACAACTCCTCCCTCTGACGTTGAGACAGCACCATTTTCATGATCCTCGCGTGTGTTTACTAGCTGATACTCAACAGTGATTCGAATGAGCGCGACTAGATTGTTCTCCAGTCAGCTCCTGATTGCTTTAATACCCAGCCAACGACATCGCCTGTAACATAAAATTAAATGTTCAATAAAAATGTGAACTCTACTTTTAGATTAATTATACGAGTTTAAAATTATAAATATCTATTACAGTTATTGTATCCTTATTACAAAGTTATATTAA